ACACACACACACACACACACACACACAGAGATTCAATAAGAGCGCACGCTGCGTAAACACCGGCGCGCCGTCAGACTGAAGGCAGAAATGAGCGCTGCCTCCTCCGTGATAAAAACTTTTAAGAGGTTTTATAACATTTTTCATTCCAGGTCAAATGAAGATATTAGCTTCTATTTTGGGATGACGTATTAAAGTCGGTCCGCTCCAGCCAGTGACTCCTCATGAACCTGACTACAACTCATGTTACTGCAGCATTTGTTATTCCAGTCCGCGTGGCAGCGGATCGCAGATTCAGCCTCACCATAAAACAACAATGAGTCGGTCTGAGGTAAAAGTGAACATCATGGCTTTATCTTGTCCCCTATAGACATTTGATTACACACAAGTAGGTGATCAGCTCAGGTTTACGCAGAGCAGAAGGAAGGAGAGCGCTCTGGTTAAACGTTCCTGCTTTAAGAAAACCGTTTAATTGCATTGTTTTGGACCAAAAGAGTGTTCGCATCCACATGGCCCGGGTTTTTGCCACGAAGCGGTCGGCTGCAGGCTGAACTGCTCTAACACACCCACCGCTGGCTGATTGGCCAGATCATATTCATGCCTACAAATGGGGGCAGCCTCTGATTGGCGAATAGAATCAGCTTTAACACACACACACACAAGCCGTGCCAGGACAAACGCAGAAGAGCAGGAAGCAACATCAGAGTCACAGTCTCCAAAAGCAACACCGCTCACAGCCACCTTAGCTTCATGTAAGAGAGACACTGCGGACCTGGTCTGTTTGGTGACCGTCCATATGCTCAGTCACTTCTGCATTTCTAGGGATGTGTGTAATGGACCTGGCCCTGGTGCAGAAGGGGCTTAAGGCTCCTCCCCCTCCAGTCAGAATCACGGGTCCCTGAACTCACGGACATCATAACTTAAACCCTGGGCACACATAAACGAGATATTATTGGCCCATAGACTCATTCACTGTTTAGGCAGTAGGAGACCCATGGTCTGGGAGTAGATGGGCGTGACTGAGGATCCACATAGATGGATGGGGTGGAAGCTCAAACAAGCACAGCCCTCTCAACCCCAAACATATCTGTCCGGTGAGGGGGGATGTCCATAGTGGACAGGTGTGAAGAGGACAATTACAGGATTGTCTGTGCGCACGTAGGAAGTTTAATAATGTATATTCACCGCTAAACCCCAAGTGACGTAGAAGCTGCTGTAATGCTGGAAGAAAATGGTGCTCAGCGTTTTCAGCCATCACTTATAGCTGAACGGGTTTTTCTTCAGAGACGTTTAATCCAAATCTTTTACGTTTTATGGTGTTTTACTACAAATATTTAAAAACAAAAACATTCTGCTTTTCCCCGACTATCAAACTTTTCCTTCACATTCATTTAGTTTCATTCTACAGACCATCACTCAGGTCCAGACGCAACACTGATCTGACATCAGCCTAACGTGTGTGTAACCTATCAGCTCTGCTGCCATATTGGGCCTTTTCCAGTTTCCTTCAGACGCAGTTTGGTAAGAGACCTAAAATGAAACCAGTAACCAGAATTCACCCAGAACAATAACCAGGTGTGCATGATGTGGGGATGAGAGGAGTTGTTGTTGGCTGCTGGGCCGTGTGCCATCTCCAGCAGTCCATTAATAACCCATCCTTAGAAATGACACGCATGCTGCTTCCATTCTGATCCGACCATGCTGTCAGAGGACAGGGTAACACACCAGACATCATTAAATCAACTGTGTGTGTGTGTGTGTGTGTGTGGGTGTGGTGTGTGTGTGTGTGTGTGTGTGTGTGTGTGTGTGTGTGTGTGTGTGTGTGCGGTGTGTGTGTGTGTGTGCGGTGTGTGTGTGTGTGTGTGTGTGGGTGTGTGTGTGTGTGTGTGTGTGGTGTGTGTGTGTGTGGGTGTGTGTGTGTGTGTGCGGTGTGTGTGTGTGTGTGCGGTGTGTGTGTGTGTGTGTGTGTGGGTGTGTGTGTGTGTGTGTGTGTGTGTGTGTGTGTGTGTGTGTGTGGTGTGTGTGTGTGTGTGTGTGTGTGTGTGTGTGTGTGTGTGGTGTGGGGTGTGTGTGTGTGTGTGTGTGTGTGTGTGTGTGTGTGTGGTGTGGGGTGTGTGTGGGTGTGTGTGTGTGTGTGTGTGTGTGTGTGTGGTGTGTGTGTGTGTGGGTGTGTGTGTGTGTGTGCGGTGTGTGTGTGTGTGTGCGGTGTGTGTGTGTGTGTGTGTGTGGGTGTGTGTGTGTGTGTGTGTGTGTGTGTGTGTGTGTGTGTGTGTGTGGTGTGTGTGTGTGTGTGTGTGTGTGTGTGTGTGTGTGTGTGGTGTGGGGTGTGTGTGTGTGTGTGTGTGTGTGTGTGCGTGTGCGTGTGTGCGTGTGTGTGTGTGTGTGTGTGGTGTGTGTGTGTGTGTGTGTGTGTGTGTGTGTGGTGTGTGTGTGTGGTGTGTGTGTGTGTGTGTGTGTGTGTGTGTGTGTGTGTGTGTGTGTGTGTGTGTGTGTGTAATGTTACCTTGTGTTTTGATGCCAAATGGAGGCAGATAATGACTGATTTTTGATAGTCGTTTGAAGTTTCGATCTAGAAACATGGGTGCTGATTTGATGAACCTGCAAGAATGAAGAAAAACACGATGAAGCTATATTCAAGCGTGAACCCCATGGACCATTGCTAAAGTGTTTCTGTTATAAACGATCACTTGAGGTTCGTAGCTTCCTGAACAGCATTTATTCAGAACATGAAAATGAATCGTCAGGATTTTGTTGACATCGTTGTGTGTAGAAGCACACAGATGGCTGCTATGCAGATGGTCTAAAAGCCCATTTCACGCTCAAACGTAATTAGTGCAAGTGCTTTGACAGCTGTTACTTTACATTTTTATTACTACAGTTTAGGGCTGCACGATATTAGGAAAACCTGCGATATTCAATAACAATGATTAATATTGCGATGACGATATTACTTACTTGCTATAAATAAAAACTTAACTCAGCAACAAAAATAATCAAAAACAAAGAAATTAAACAAATCATAAAAATGAGAAAAGCAAAGATGTGAGGAAAGGGAAAAGAAAAGGGAATCCGTGGATCCCGGGAAAAGCAGAATCAGCAGAAAGAGCAGAAAAAAGCTAACTCGGGTGTTTGCTAACCATCAAAATTAAGTACCGTCCGCCTCGGGGGCGGGCATCTGACCTTTGAGAACCCACCCATTTGGCCAAATGGGTGATGATCTCTATTTGATTTGTTAAAAAACATAATAATGTAGTTTGACTGACAGAATAAATTATGTGTAGCAAACATTTGAGCTGACCGTTCATTGCGATATTTATCTGTTCTTTGCGATATGCATATTGTGCATGCTGATATCGCGATAACGATATATTTACGATATATTGTGCAGCCCTACTACAGTTTATTGAATCCTATCAGGTTGCAAAGTCATAAAATATACATGAGAAACTTTTACTTGAATGGATTTTTATCATGCCTGATCCACGTTTTGGAGCTTTTGAACATGTTATTTTACAGTTTCCTCCTGAAAGACACCCCAAAGCGGTTTTTGGTGTTATGCATTTATTTATCTCTCTGAGCATTAACTTCTCTGAAAGTTTAATAAGCCATTGCAAAAGCCTGGATGGAAAAGTTGTGTCAGCAAGCACTTTTCCTCCCTTTCCAGGGAAAGGGAGGAAAAGTCAAATCCAATCCTTCCTCCACTGCACTGTAAACACTAATGCCCAGACTTTTCGTGTAGCTAGCAGGGATTTTAATCTCCACAGTTGTGAAGAAGCGATTTCATTATTAACCAGTCTGCATCTTTGAGAATGCGTTTGAGGCTGCAAGAGGAACCGGCGTTTGTTCAGTCTTCCTAAAAAGACTTTTAAATACAAATGGTTGGACTTTATCTTCAGCAACTCTCAAAAACCAAGCCATGATGTGACTGTGACTTCATTGAATGTTTGTTAAACCATCATCAGTACCGGAGCTGGTTGTCGGATGGATTTTCTCTTCAAAACTTGGAATCAAGCTTCGATCTAGGGTTACGTCATGAAATGTGTGGAACTCACTCAAGTGTGAGGTAGGATTTGAAGGAATCCAAGTGTCTTAGTTCCGGGTTGATAAAACGTCTCAAGAAAATTAATTATATAACAAACGGTACTTCCATAGGGTCAACAGTAATATTTTATTCATATATGTGGCATTTGTTGCCGTTTTAAAATAGCATGATAGTCATTTAAACACAATTCCAATTTCTTCTGTAACATTTTGGTCAAAACATCAATATAATGTGAAATTTGATGCGTTGGCATTATTATTATTATTATTACTAACTGTTATTCCAGTTCTATGTCAATGAAAAAACATTATTTTGTTATATATTTTATGACGAATGAATTTTGACAGATGAAAACTGAACTAAATATAAAAAACAAACAGAATAACACATTTCTGACTAATAGTGAAATACATTGTTGTTTATAAATAAATTACAAAAACTGGCCGTGACAAAAATCCAATCAGAAAACACAAAAGATGGGAGAATGGAAAAAATAATCCACCAGCAAATGAAACAGGCAGGAGTAGATGAGAAAAGAACCAAACAGAGTCTGGAGCCAGCTGTTGTTTGAACAAACGGTCAATAACAACTGAACTACTTATGCCTAAGAAGAGAAAATGTCCGCAGCTGGGAGTAAAAACATTAGAGGGGACCATCTGAAAAGCATTTGCTCAGCGAGTACACATCCAGGGTTTCCTCTGGTTATACAAGGCTACAGTGGTAACAGTGGGGGGGGGGCAACAACCGCAGTTCCTCACCTGGTTGTTTCGTCGTTTTGATTTTCATAGCGCTGCTACAGCCAATATTAGCTCTTGGTGTTCCAGTGGCCCACCTTGGTAAATCAGTGCATGGAACACTCAATTCAATTCAGTTTATTTATAAAGCGCTGAGTCATCTCAAGGCACTTCACACAGTGAACATTCTCTAATAAACTCTATTAAATACACCTTAAAACAACTCTTACCTTTAGTTTACCTCCTCGCATGATCAGAGTAACGTTAGGTTATGCATATAACAACTGTTCCCTGAAGGAGACGAACGAGGTACAGTACAGTGAAGGTACTATGGGACATCACACCCTTAAGTGGCCCTACTGAAGACACATCTAATCACACCTGTGACACCGGGTGGTTGGCCGCCTTCCACCTACTAGTCCCCGGTGTCACCGGTGTTTCTCAGCCCCTACACTGGAACGAGTTCCCCCGACAGTGAAGCAAGCTCCTTCTCTTCAAGATTTTAAATCACACCTTAAAACCCACTTTTGTCGGCTAGCCGTCCCCCAACATTGACACTAGCTTTTATATTTTTATCATTTGTACCGCACTGTTTTTATTTGCTTTTATTTGTCTATTTTTGTTTTTTATTCAATGTTTTTTTATTACTCTGGTTTTTATGTCCTGCTCAGCACCCTGAGCCTCCGCTAAGGTGGTACAAGGTGCTTTATGAATGAAAAATGAACTAATGAATGAACGCAGCTTCCACACATTTGGAAAAGGTGCAGGGAGCTAGCGCTAGTCCGAGTGAAAGAACCAAATACTCACAGGCGTGATCTTTGCACGCGAAACACAGGGACTGCCTGTGATCCAGATTAATCCCCGCATTAAAATATGCATCCATGAGATCAATCGGAACAAACCAATCTCCGGAGGTGACGACCCAGAGAGAGGTTTGCAGTAAGCTAGCCGCTCAACGCTGCCGTTGCCCTCTGGTGGAGCGGGAGGGCGACGGCAGAGGGTGTTTATGACAAACGTTCTGAGCCATCATCTGCAGACATATTTCCACTCTCTAAAGTGGATTTTACATCCATCTTCCAACAAGCCAGGAGATTCTGCAGTGCTTGTTGACATTTCAGGGGAACAAGATGTCCGCCTATGTTCCCAAACAAAGCTTGCTTCTGATAAGGCTGCAGGATTCCTCCCTCTCATGAAAGATGGACTTTTACAGCTCATAAGTTAAATAATCAGTAAATAATATGGTTGAATGAACAAATGTTGCATTAATAATAATATGAATGTTTGAATAATCTGTGCCCAATTCAATAATGTCTGGTTTAACAAGTGAACCACTATTTTCTGCTCCAGAACCGCTCTTTTCTGCCAGCTGGGCCACGTTGGATCTCTGATTGAGCCGGTTGGAGGAGGAAGCGTTGCAGGAGGAGGGGAAAGCCTGGTGGGTCCCGTGTAAGGCTAAGGGTTCATATGCATCAATCCCAGAAGGAGTTGGCTGCGCTTTTGGCCGTTTCCTTGCTGCTCCTCAGCGATGGTTCCACCCGCCTGTGCCTTGTCTGGTGCCGCTAGTGGGCATTGGCGGCAGGTCTGTCTCCCAGCATCCTTCATTTGCACCGGGGCTTTGTTGGAGAGGGGTTAACTGGGTAGTCTACTCCTGGTGAGGAGTGTTGGACCTGAGCCAGAGCCTACGAGAGAGTTTATGGAGCTTATGTGTGATGCTCGGATGGATGGTGCTCGGTTTGTTCTGATCAATGTCAGGTCTAGAGTTTTATTCTTTTATTCTGAAAAACTTTTTTAATTGATAATGGACTGAGTTTTATGTGCATCTGTGAGAGATGGATTTCTCTGGGTGACTCAAGTGTGCTAGTGGAACTGATTGTTCTGATTGGCTGAGAACAATGTGTCATGCGTTTCCATGTTAATGTAGATCAGTCTGTCTGGTGCAGTCCTGTTTATTCATTAAACACATAACTCATGACATCATTATTTCACAGATCATTCACCTGATTATTATTGATCAACATATGTTTCGATTAGCTTTATCACAAATAAAGTACTTTGATTAATTAAAAGCGTTCTTCTTCTCCTTCTGGCTCTTCTCCTGGAATGTAAACAATCAGAAACCAGCATCCGACCTTGGCGATTCCTACACGTTGTTACTGTGTAAAGGGGCAGCTGTTAAGGGCAGACAATTAGAATATTCATAACGCTACACTAGTGTTGGGTTGTGTTCATATTGATAAACTAGAGTGTGTGAAGGCTGTACCAACTCCAGCCTGTCTGGATGAGTCCACGGGTTTCCAGATAAGAGAAACAACGCCTCTATCTCCGTGCCTGAGGGCGTTTTGTGCAGCTGAAAAGACAGACTTCTGAAGCCCACATCGGTCGGTACCGGGTCAGGGAGGACCACACTGGGCTCCGGAGACCCGAGGCAGGGTTTAAAAAATTTAATGTGGATTTCTGGAGCTCAGATCACCGTCAGGATCAGGTCAGAACTGACCACCAGAAGAGAAGCGCGGCTCTGGGGGTCAGCTGGTTTCCGGGTCGGAACCGGATCAGAACCACCACCTGGACCACCAGAAGAGGATGCATGGCTTTTAAAAATCCCAGCTAAACTAGCTCACTGGTGTCTGGGTAGGATCCAGCTCACAGAAGCCCGCATGAGCTCCAGAACCGGATGACAGATGTCTCTCTCCCGCTCTCTAAAGCACTAAACTAGGTTAGGTGAACAGATAGTAGAGTATGAGACAGCTGACAGACGCTCATTAGTATTAATATTATATTAACTGACCGATACTACTTTAACTGGTACATGATAGTTTCCAAGT